CACAAGAACGTCGAATCTGAATCACTTGAAAAAAACACGGGGGTGCTTAACTTTTTTCCAGGTGTATATATAACACTATTGAAATTGTATGCGTTTGATATTTCATTTCCAATCTAGTTCAAATCACAAAAACCTTTGACCCAAGACAGAACAATCTAGTAGAGCTTTTATCGTCACGATACTACAAAGACAAAGTTTCATTGTCTTCCGTTTTTCTCCATTTTTTTTATATACGAACATACCACACAGATGTGACCCTGAAAGTTACTTAGACTCCTACTCGAGTAGAATAAATGTAATTGGAACAAAACTCGAGACCAAGTTCTTGTTTTTCTTTGAATTTAAAAAAGGTACATAAAAGTAAAGTCTCGGTGCCTGTTTCTAAACGACATGCTTCGTTAGAACTTCTGTCTGTACAATTCCGCGGACAACATTTCAATATTTACCCTTTTTTAGTCGCGGCTCACAGAATGGTTCTGAGTTTTTTTTTCAAATACAAACTTTTAGCTCATAGCTCCATCTCTTGACCGATCTGAGATCTAACTACAGCCGCGGCTATTGAGGATTCCCTCTTGTTTCAAACACGAAAGGTCTAAATTTGTCCCAGTGAAGTATTTGCAATTGTTCTTAGTATTTTCCAACTATTGTTGATTCCTCTCTGTGGTAATCTTAAAATACTTAAACTATATGACGTATATAAAGAAGTACTAGTGAAATAGTGAAGATATTATACACTCTGTTGACTATGAACGTGTATCCTCCTGAGGCAATATCAGAAAAAGAGTAAAATCATAGTTAACATCTTTATTATGAAGTCATAATAAAAACATAATCTCTTGCTTCATTTCATTGTTGACTAGTAGTCTCTAAACCAACAACAGAAAGAAATGTTCACATTCTGGGATATTTTCATTTTCTTTAAGAAATAAAATCATTGGCTTATACTTAATACCAGTTATATTTTTTAAGAGTAGGCACAAAAGGCCAGCGCCATCTGTTAGTAGAATTCAGTACGCTTGTGTATAGTTGAACATTTTTACAAACAGCACAAAGAAACGTTTCACTTAATCTTAGTCTGCAGTAAACAACTAATACATTAGGATATTTAAACTGAAAAAAATTAGATTAATAATTACTTTTTGCAGATTATATTTTCATATTCACATCCAGTGTCATAAATAAATACATCTATTATTGGTATTTTCATTTCAGGATTCAGAACATTTATTCCCCCCCATTGTGAAAACAAATGAAACAACTTTAGAAAACAAATTAGTATTTTTGTTGCAGATACGAAAAGGAGAGGAAACTAAATAAAGCGCCTAGATGATAGTATACATATATATATATTATGTAAGTATCAGATCATTCAAATAAAAGTGTGAGGCTGATGATTAAACCAATAAATATTGCAAGAATTACATTAGTTTTTTTTTTATCGTTGAAATGCTTCCAAGACCAGTACTGATCTTAGATGAGAAAACAAATCCTTTTTGGTTAATGCAAAAAACAACAACAACAAATCCTGTTTGGTTAGGGCAAAACAAACAAACAACAACAAAAAAAAAAAAACAAATCATGTATGGTTCGTGCAAAACGAACAAACAAATCCTGTTTGGTTATTGCAAAACAAAAACCTCTTTGGTTATTGCAAAAAACAACAACAACAGAAAATCCTGTTTGGTTAGGGCAAAACAAACAAACAACAACAACAACAAAAAAACAAATCATGTATGGTTCGTGCAAAACGAACAAACAAATCCTCTTTGGTTATTGCAAAAAACAACAACAGAAAATCCTGTTTAGTTATTGCAAAGAACAACTGCCATTTTGGCATAAGTAGATAGATGTATTTTAATTTGTATCATTCTGATATTTTACTGGTCCAATTTTCTAACTACACAGATGTTTACGCGAATTCATGTATACTGAAGATAAAAAAAATCAGACAAACTTTCTGATTCCTGTACATTTTCTGTTTAGAATAAACGGTTGATTTGCAAACAACAGGTCTATATATATTTTCGATTTTATTGTAGCTAGGTAAATTAAGGACGGCTGACATCTAGTGGCAACTTTTACAATTACTCAAATAACAAACCAAAAATAATTTCCCAATTTACAGTTGTTTCCCAGCTGTTTTAAGGTTACAATTTACGCATACATTCATTTATAATGTGTATTGTGGATAAACTGATAAGTAGGAAGCATATTTAGTTTTTTCGTTGAATAGTAAATAGATAAAATAGACGCACTACCAGAATTTTAAGCTACAAGACAAAAAACTTACTTTGCATTAAGGAAATACAATTCTTCATACATCCATTTTAAACAATACGTATTACAACATAACAGCAGTTTTTTCTATGTCTAATGGTTGTTTATTCATAATTCGAAAGAAAAAAATCCCAATTCTGAGGAATGCAAAATGTATGACGCATTGTAGCCAGATGCTTTAGTTTATTAATTTACACTCGCCGGTAAATTACGACGAGGCCTTTTCGCCCAAATAACAAGGCTCATCAGACCAACTGGGATACCACAGAAACGGTAGTGGTTGAGACGCTTTTATGTTATAAAATGACATGAACGACAACTGTTAAGGTGAGAACTAGATTAAGTTGGCGAAGTTAATTTTTTATCTATTTTATGAGTCATATACAAATGTAAGAATTCATAATACAATCTAGTTGGGCTTAGCAATTATGGTGAGAATTATACATTTGACACGAGTTCACAAAATGAAAATATTCGTCACTTTTCTTTGGTGTAATGAACTCTTCTGCTTCATCAACTAATTAAACTTTACATTTTACACCATATTATGAAGTTTTTTGTACTGTAAATAGGCCTAAGTAGCATCTTAGACAGTTTTGTTAAATGACTATCATCACTCAATATTTGTTATTGCCTAGGTAACGACTTGACAAAAGGCAGTGATAAAAAATAATAATTCTGAATTGTTACTTCACACAACAATGATTTCGTACCCCGTAAGGACTAGCAAAATGTGTAAAAAATTACAGTTAAGATTGTTTTCCCATTCAAGCCGTCTCCAACCATTAGAAGCCTATTAAGGTTTAAGAAAAAAAAATGTAAACAGGCAAACTTTGAAATAACTTATTTATTCATCATGAGAGAAATGCTATACAAGTTTTAATACTAGGAATGTGGGTGTCAAAATCACAACAAACATCACATTACGGAAAAAACTGGTACTGTGGTATTTAATTAATAACAGTAATACACAATTTAACCAAACATTTATTATTGCAAAACTGTTATTGTTTTTGCAATGAAAAATAATTGCGGTTTACATGTTTTATTAATTACATTACTAGTTTAAGCATACGAAGCTACAACTAACGTGGAGCTCTATATAAAAATACAATCGTACCTTAATCTCTCAGCCACCAATGTGACAAGGTTCATACTTATGTATGTATAGCTGGGTTGTATGTTAAGCTCAAAACACTGCTCAGATATATAGTTTACAGTATTTACAACCATAACAACGCCTCAACACATTCTTAAAACAAATACACCAGTTATGAACAGGAAGTAATCTTCAATCCTGTTGAAGCAACAACAGAAATTATCTGCTGACTACTCTCACATCAAACTTTGTGGAATTCTAATAAACCAAAGGCAATTGTTTTAATGTTTTTCCAAAGTTAAAGTGTTACAAAATATTTTTTCTTTATTATGCCTCAAGGCACAAACTGAAGTTAAAAGCATTGTTTAGAGTTACTGTAATAAGTTTAGAAAATTTATTAAGAACTTCATATTTTAAGTGATAAAACAAAGAGATGAAGCACAGTCTTTAAATAATATGCATTTTAATATATTTACTTATAACTTCCATGAATGTAACAGCTAACATTAGTACATATTTAACAGAGTAGAAAACACCATGGCTTTCAGATTTTCTTAACAGTTATTTATGTTAGGTTGTGGTCATTACGTTGCTTTGTCCACTCTTACCCAACCCTCCAGATATCTAAGCTTGAGAACAACTATCTAAGTATACCTGTATATTGAAAAACGTTTGAAGAAGATTTTACTAAAAATAAAAATATCTGAAAAATACGTTGAAATGTTTCTAAATTCTTCAACTGTTTGTAGTTTTGCAATTCCATATTTAATACCAAGATGACTTGTTCAAAGAGAAGAACCAGCTAAATATAATTACATTCTGTTATAAAGGTGCTAAAAATGCACATACTTATATTTAGATGGAAAAATGATTTTTTGTCTAGATGAACAAACTGTTTTTTAATACTGATATTGTATCCACAAAAAAGTTTAAGACATTGGACAGCTATTTGATGACTGTTGATTCAAGACTTTCCACATGTAACTTAGTAAATTCTATAAGCTGTTTGTTTAATAACATCTAGTGACATTTTAAAATGGTAAAAATAACACAAATCCACTGCACAACAAACCAATAATTTGATTTAATCATGCTTAACTGGATAAAAGGAACCAGCCAGTAGTTTAAAACTAGCTAACAGAGGTGAGCAACAACAACAACTAAAAACATATTTCTTTAGTATTCTTCTTAACAACAATCAAAGGATGTCACTTCATATTATTACTTCAATAATTGTTGTCTATGTGGGAGAGTTTCCACCTTATTATTGTAGAACAATATTAAGACTATTTGTTTGTAATTAAATAAAAAGCTACACAATAGGCTATATGTGCTCTTCACACTGCAGAGATCGTAACCCAATACTTAGCATTATGAACTTGAGCCCTACTGCTGATTTACTAAAGAGCATACATATTAAGTCTGTAATTGAAGCAGGATTTTGGCATCTCATTTATCAAACTTTATTTTAAATGAATAAAGAAGTAATACCAATGGAGCACAAACAAGTAAAATTTAAAACAAACACAATATTTGTTCTAGGATTTGATATAAGCTTAGAAAAAATCTAAGCAATTTAGATATATACTAATGCTTTGCACCAGTATTTTTTTATTTTGATTCCCATTGCACCACCTTCTAATGTATAATTAATTGGCCATTGGTCTAATTCCGTGCATGAGAGTCCTGAGGCCTGCAACACCTCACACTCAAGTAAGAAGAAAATACCATGATTTTATCCTCCATCATACGCTTGAATAAAATAAAAAAACTTACATTTGACGTTTTTTGGGATGTAAATATATTTACACGTTTTTGAATTAAAAACTGGAATTGCCAAGTACAATCAACCATGATTGGTTGGTCTAAGTTAAAAAAAACTTGAAAACTGTAAAGAAAATGAAAAATTTATAAAACTTTGTTACAAATGGAGCTAAAATGTGACCCTGAATTGGACTTTCAATAAAGAAAATTGACATTAAGCTAATGCAAAAAACAACATAAGCACTACTGTCAATAAAGTAAAAAATAAAGAAATACAAATTTCCAAAAAGATAAAAAAAAGAACTGGAAAGTCTGTTTCTTCCTCCAATTTTCTTTGAATGTTTACCATGCTTTTATTTTTATTCCCCTTTTGGATATTTAATACTGCTCAATTTAATTTGCTCACAACCCCCCCCCTTTTTTACACTTTTGATAATTAGGAGAACCTATAACTTATGAACCCTACCACACCTTAGTTGTCAGAACTGTTATCCCTCGAAACCATATTGCTTCACTACTACATTAAATATGAATCTGTAATGTGTATTAACATTAAAGTTTTTACAAAGTTTGATGGGTTTTAAATTTCAAAACAAATATACTAATTTGACAGTTCGAAACTCTTAAATGACAAGTGAAGAGTTCTATTTTCTTACCACATCACCACATTTTCTGACAGAATATTTTACAACCACACTATTAACCTCTGGAAATGTATAGAAATGCTACAATATCAACAATTTCATAACAATTGTTCCCACCAATCTAAACCTTGAGACCAACAACAGCTAGGCTACAAGTTATCTACTGCTATTTGATAATCTTGTACTTCTTTTGGTAAAACGTAGTTAATAAATTGTATGCAAGAATTTATAACATTCTGATGTAACACCAAATTATGTTGTACAGTTAAAGCCAACTCATTCCAATTATTATGTTCAGTGCTGAAAAGTATTCTTGATAAAACATAAACACTTAAAGAAAATTAAGAGGACCAGTAATAGAACTTGATGGTATCCCTTTTACTTACTCAGGAAGCTGCCAATAACTTTTTAATTCACAACCTAAATCTATAAATGCTGTTTAACTTTTACACTTGGGGTGTGCCATGTAACAACCACACAAAAGCATATGAAAAAACTTGAAAATAAAAATTAACCACAATACAACCACATACAAGTGCAACTATATTTACAATTAAAAGTAGCACTGCTGAAATTCTACAAGGCTTATCACATCTATTATATTCTGGAAATACCTGGTAATTGAATGTTAGAATGAAAAAACACACCTTTCTTAACAAGAAGAATGCTTCAGAATATTATACTGATAAATTATGATTCCTACACTTGGTGTATACTATTGGAATTGATTGCGAACAGTAAGTTGTACAGTTTTAATCAGTCAGCAAGCTCCCTTGAAATTATGGTATTATATTTAGTCAATTGGTTCAAGTATTTAATTTTTTAATAGTTTTACCTTCTTTAAAAAAATTCATATAAAAATATTCATACAAGTTTAACTACTGTCTTGTAAACTGTAATCAAGATGCCTAGAAAAAAATGTCTTGTTTTTTTATGGACTAATCAATTACTTGGATATATGGGGTAAACATAACTTCTGTTATATATATACACACACACACACACACAGACACCGTGCAAATTATTCCAAATAGGCTTAGAAAATTTCTTATTTGAAAACCTTCATCAATACAGAATGAATACATAACAACTTGAGCTCTTTTATGAAATACTGAGCTTCACAAATAAAAGTTAACCAATTTGAGATTATTTCATTGTCTAATTCTCCTGAAAAAGAATTTTTTAAATAACTGATTCATCAAAATCCCAAATATATGTTAGGCATTCAAATAAAAGTTTCCCTGGAGTTGACATTCATCAAAATACACTTTTTAGTAAAGCTTCTTACAGAATAAAAATAAACAATTCAGGTTTATACAACTAGTTTAGAATTAAAGAAAAATAGTTAAGTATGTAATTTCATTTCCACATGCAAGAATTTTTTTAAGTTCTACTTTTCTTGGTTAAGGTATTTTGCAAGAATCGAGTTATTAAAAAAATATTTCTATGATACACATATTTAAAGCACTGAATTTTGAAAATGAATAACAAAGTCTGTTTGAATTCACATGTATGTAATATGATTAGTACTCACATCAGAATCATAGGTGGGGAAATTTTACAAATAAACTATGAAAACTAATTTCTAGAGTGTGTAGTAGTAGTAATCTAACAAAAACTGCTAACTTTCTTGAATCTGCTTCCAAATCACAAAAACAAATAAAAGAAACATTTAAAATTTTTTTTTCCTGCATTGTACATTCCACAACAGTTAATACTCTTAAGGAAGGTAATATCGCCATTTTCATTTTATTTTTATATATATGTGTAGAATGAGACAGATATTCAGTATAATAAATTTTTTGGCCATTATATTAAATTCATAGTTCTAAACAAGAAGTACAAAATATACTACTGCAGTTAAGTGTACCATCTAACAGTTTCTGAATTGTCTATGCACAAATGTACTAATATTTTCAACTGAAAAAAAAGTCAACACCAAGATATAGACTGTTCCCTGTTCATCTGATGACGCACGTTTGCTAAATCAACAAGCAAACATCAAAATTGTAATTTAATTTGGTAAGCATGGTTACAACAGCAGTAAAATAGATGTAGAAGTTATGGAAATGTAGATCTTTCAAGAAAAGGGTTATTTAGCAATAACACAAAATTTATACGGCATATAATATAGAGAATTGATACACAAAAATTATTCCTTCCTGCAAATAAATTAGAAATATAATATATAAAAACAACAATGTAAATAAAAAGACATCATTTATAACAATAATAACTAAATATATTTATACTTGTAGTATGAAATAGGGTGTAAACAAAGCACAAACATGATATAACCCCTCCAGCATTAAGTACATGATGATTGCAGTTCTATCAAAAGTTTTACTAAAAACTCAATACTGATAGTGAAATACAGAATACTGTCATGTAAAAAATAATTCTTAACATTAAATGATTTCAGCCCTCAAACTGGTCATTCTGTTATACAGTTACAGTGTACATAAATAAAATATTAGTTCCAATAAAACCATAAAACTGTTTGAAAATACGTATATAGTGTGACAGCTAAAAAGGTTTACATATACTTGTTTTATTAACTGTCCAAATTATATGTTCATTGATAAAAACAAACAATCGCAAAAATCTCAAAACAAGAATGGAAATTTATTATTCTATGAAAGGAGGCTTTAAAGTTTAGATTTTTTGTATAGATGCACCAGACCAGCATTTTGAAACTTCCAAAAACTGCTAAAGTTAGAGCTCTTAAAAATTCATCAACTCACAGCAAGGCAATATTTTGTCATTACAATCCAAAATAACACAATAAAATGCAAAGCAAGTAAATGAAAATGAAACATTTTACTTCAATCACTGAAATACCATGTTTAAGCTCTACAGTGATGTCATCTTGTTTATTAAGTGTCACTATAAAACTTTTTCAGAAACTTAACTTTTTCTGAGAGGGTTGGAATTTAGTTGATTTTCTATATAAAAGCAGTTATACAGCTAACCTTTTATAAGATTAAAAAGTTAACACATTTTAAATGAAAACTTTATATAATTCACAACAATTGCTTGGAAGTTTGATATAAGACATTAAAACCAAATACAAGTTATCACTGTCAGCTTGCTAACAGGGCCAGTCAAAATCAAAAGCAATGTAACATATAATTTAAGGACAACAAGGGACTTGTTGGTCCATCAAGGACATCCCACCCACAAAACTAAACTTTAAAATAAACTCAAAGCTAGCCCTTATCATTCAACTATTTGTCAAGCCTTCCCTTAAACTTACTGCATCCAGCAGGTCTGAAGGTAAACCATTCCAAAGACCAACTACGCTAGTAGAAAAATAAAGCTGTCTTGGCTGAAGATGACTCCTCCTCTACCAAAATTTATATCTGTGTGACCCATAGTTCTACCATTCTCATCATTAAGTATAAAAAAGGATGATGTATTAACACTATCAATTTCCTTAACAATCTTAAACACCTCAATCAGATCCCATCAAACTCTTCTCTTTTTCAAAAGAAAACAATTTTAGAGATCTTGACCTGTCCTTGTATGATAACTATTCCATTCCAGGTATAATTCTAGTAGCCCTCCTTTGAACCTTCTCTAGCAATCCAATGTCCTTCCTAAGATAAGGAGTCCAAAAGTAAATACAATACTTCAAATGTGGCCTTGCCAGTAACCTATACAATGAAATAACACTTTTATACTTTTATTCAATATTATAGTAGATACAGCCTAAAATACTACTTGCCACACCATTAGCAACAGCACACTGCTTGGATGGCTTAGGAGACTGATTAACCAGAACTCTGAGATCTTTTTTCTTCAAAACCAATCCAATTATGGTAGTTATTTAGGTTTGAGATCTCTCGGGTTGTAAAAGAATCTTTGGGGCCCGAGAAACATCCTGGGATGCTCAGAAACTTTTGTTTCTCTTCACTCCACTAGAGGTTTATTTATACAAGCCTAAATGAGAATTTTAATCACAAAATGAGCCAATGGGCTGAGTAGGTTAGAAGATGGTGAATGAGAGTACATAGTGCACAGAATATGCGAGAGAAGGATGCCATCAAACAGCAGGCATCGATTGGGAAAGCCAAAGAAGAAAACCAGTAGACTTGAAGGTGGTGAATACGTGTATAAGTTTATATCACATGGTGATGATGTCGGTTGAGGATTCAATGAGTGCAAGTTGGTAGAGAGGGATAAGGAGAATAATATACACCAGTGCAGAAGTGAATAGATTTATATTTTGATCATTTGTGATTAATAAAAAGGTGAGAGAATGTCCAAAGAATGAGTCAGAAAGACTTAAAATGTTTGGACTTGAGAAAATTAGAAGATTAAGCTTAAATAAAGTAATCAAAAGTAATTAAATTGATAAAATGATCAAACAGCCATTTTCAGGGGGGCAAGGACCAAAGCCCAAGTAAATTTTGATGTGGGGGGAAACCAGAGAAAACCCACTTTCACGTACAAGTATCGAATATTCTACTTGACCAGTGCCCAAGACAAAATGCTGAAAAGCAAATATTAATGCAATAAGTCATCTAAGAATTAAAGTATTAATGGTAGGAGATGAAATTAGTATGAGGAGGGGTAAGATTAATCACAATTTTAGGTGTTGATAAAGTTCATGGGTGAAGTATACTTGAGTCATGTGGAGGGTGTTCCAGCAACTTTGGAAAATTCCATAATTTGTATGTTCTTTGTACGTGATTATTTGATAATATGTTATAGCTAACTTAAAAACCCTATTTTTCAGAGTTGGTATGTCACTTAGTCTTTCTAGATACTCATGCAGGGTGTAGGGTGGTAAGCAGAATGCTGTTTTGATTACTTTGTTGGTTCTGTAGTTTGGAAATAAGCATATTAGACATATTGCAGGAGGATACAGCTTAGCCATATTCAATTAGGTCTAATGTAAACATTGCATATTGTGATGATTGTTTTGTTGTGGTATCCTTTGTTCAAGCCTCCTGTGCAGCGAAGACAGGCAATGAATTTGCTGGTGCTAGTGAGAATGTTATGAAAATAGTTTGTCCAAATGATTTTTTTATTAAAAGTGGGGCCTAAAAATTTATGGTTTTTGTAAAGGCAATGAGGTTATCATAAAGTTGAAGTTTAACTAAGGGAATTTTATTGGACCTTTTGCCAATGTTTCAGTGAAAAGCAGTAGTTTGAGGCTTTATGGGGTTCAACAAGACTCTCCAACTGTTGCACCAGTGGATAATTCAATTAAGTGAGTCGTGGACTCTCACAACTGCAGTACATGGGTCTTGTGATGTGCTCCAGACAGCTACGTTGTCAGCATGAGACACTAACGTGTATGGTAAGGAGGAAACAGGGATATCGTTAACAAATAGTAAATATAATAAGGGGGCTTAGAACAGAACCTTGGGGAATGCCAGCATTAAGTTTAAAGGGACTAGAGGTAGAATTGTTAATTTTAATGCAAGCAGATCAATTGGATAGAATATATATATTATTGGGGAATAACTTATATCTCAAGGCATTGTGCCAGACGGTATCAAATGCTTGTTTTACACTAAAAAAGCAGCAATTGTAGTGTGTTTTTGGTTAAACCCCTTGAATGCTGATTCAGTTATGCAAACAGGGTGATTTATTGTTTGTCTACATTTGCAAATGGCATGTTGGGTACTGCTAATTTGGTTTTTAGATTCTATGAAGTAAAGTAGTCTGTTGGAGATGATTTTTTTCCATTAATTTTCCAAGAGTATTGACTAGATTAATTGGATAATAGTTATTGGATAGGTGTAAGTCAGCAGGATTTTTAGGGGTTTCCAAATCTCGAGGTAATATCCTGCCGTAAACAATAAGATTGTATATTGATATTAGATGAATTAGGATTTTTTTGAGAATTTCTTGATGATAATGTTGTTTATGCCATCTTTGCCGGGAGATGTGCATTTGAGTGTTTTAATAGTAACCTTGGTTTCAGCTAATGAGATCAGGCATGTGTGATAGTTGTTGCTGTGAAACCTAGTTGAGCTAGTGGTAGAGAAAACTGGGTTATAGTTTACACTGTGCTGTTCTACATGCTCATTTATGGAGTTAAATGTTTATCATCAAATATGTTTTTCATAAAAGCAAGCGAAAAGGTTGGATTTATCTTCATTATTGTATGCTATAGAATTGTTATATTTTATGAAATTTGAAAAACTAGAGGATCTTACGTTGCAGACTTTTTCTGAATTTTTTCCAAAGTAGGGCTGGATTTGGTTGGCCATCATCTATTGAGTTACAGAACACTACTTACAGAGCCATTTTAAAGGTGGAACCTATCAGCTACTATATTTTCAATGTCTGAATGTGTTTGCTTTGGTAAACTCACACTGAGTATGTGGATGATTTACGAAGTTCACATAAACCATACTGCTGAATGGCTACTGACCCTTGAAGACTCAATCAACCATCACAAAACACGCTCCTTCTATATCATTGGAATCAAATAATCTGTTGAAAATTTGACAATTGAATTCTCCCATAATGTTATCCAATTAGATATGAAAGATCGTTGTTGTTTTTGTAGTTATTTCTTAAAGTAACAAATGTTAGAACTATGCAAGTTCAAGCTAATCTTGTTGGTCTCTTGTGCTAATATTATTATAGGTATAACTAATAATCCAGTTGAATGCAATAACAGATTGCTCTTGTTTTCATCAAGCAGCTAATCCTGGTTTCTTGAAATCAACTATAACAGCTGTCTGTCTTTCACCTTCAATGTAAATTGTGTTAACAGTGTTGAAAATCGGAAGAAAGTTGTAAATATATCAAGATTCAAGTTACTGAGTACTCAAAATAGTAAAAACGAATACTTGAACTAACAAAACATTTGGAGACTTTACAGTGATCACTGTTAAAATATTTTCATAGCTTTCATACTGACATTGATTCAGCAAATAAAAAAGTTTAAAATATTAAAGGAAGGACAGAAGTCAAAAGTAAATGCTTGTTTCAGTTAAAATACAATCAATACTGTGCATAAAAGGGAATTACAAATGCAGCACAAAATAATTTTTAATATCTAGTCACAGATATAATATTATAATTGGTTAAGAAGTTGCAATTAATGTATAAGAAAAGCTTTACAATTTAGCTGTAAATAAAGGTTTACAAAGTGAACCATGACACTAGTGTACAACTGAATGCATTTGGAGATGTAATTCCTATGTGAAAAGTATGGAATAAGGAACTGTATTAACTTCTGATCAAAGCACTAAAAATCAACCCAATAATGACAATATCTAATTAAACATTATGTTTTTACATAGAATGATTCGAATGCACTGTTTTGTCAGTTGGGTATTGTTATTATTATGTCAGTCTGTAGTTTGGAAGAGCAATAGAAGAGTGAATTTTCTAAAAAAAATTGCTTTCACTATTAAAATATCTAAGATTGGCCCTGTTAGCTAAGCCATAAAGCTAACAAGGTATACCATTAAACAAGATTTGATGAGCCAGACATTTCTGTGTACTAACATGCTTGTAGATCCAAAATCAAATATGGATCCAAAAAGCTAGATTTGTAAGTACATGTCAATAACTAGATTACTACCTGAAAGTACTAACTTCAGTGTTTAAACATCTGCTGCTCTCCTTACAACAGTCGTAGCTTTTTCTTTGCACAGTAAGATAATTTATAGGTATTTATGAACATGGAGAGAAAAATCTTGATTGCAAAACTTACCAAAACAAATTTAACAATCTCTCCTGACTTACACTAGCAACAATCACGTCAGGCACTACTTAATGTCAGTTTACATTACACTATACAATAGTTTTAAGTTCTTCACTGTACTGTATCTTGCAACAGTTTGAATAACGACGATAGAACACAAAGACAGGTATCATTTACCTTCCCGTTTGTTACTATTACCAGAAGTCTATCACCATACTGTGGTCTCTGTGTTACCCTGAGAGTCTGGACAGGCAGTTGCCACTGTAATGTCAGACACACTCTCAGTCTCTGATGCAGAGGAGGAACTGTGAGACAGGGCTGGTGAGCTGTACACATCTGTGATTGGTGGAAGGGGGCTCTAAGGAAAGAGATAGAATCAGATTTTCTTGTTAGACAATTTTTTTTCTTCTAAGTTTGCAATTCAATACACATAAACATGCAAGTTAACATGAAGATTCTGTTTATGCTTCCCTTCATCAGAATAATTCAATACAGCAATACAAACTTATACAAACTAATTACAAGTAAAGCTAACAAGGCAGAAATATGAATCAGCTGAAAAGATGTAAAATCTGTAGGCGACAGAACTATAAAAAAATCTAAAGAAACAATGACGGTCCTTTTATTTTTTGAGAATGTTTTAAAGCATTTTTTTAATGTTTTCTCTTGTAGTCCTCCACTATTATCATATATTAAATCATATTTACTTGTTATAGTGGTGTAAGTCTTAGAAATCTATAAAATATCAAAATTCTCAGTTTGATGTTACCATATTTCATACAGTATTTCCATCAGATCTTAATAGCTTTGTGTGAATTATAAACTGTTTAATACTTTTACATGACAGTTTATAAGATAATTACCTCCAAAGAATAATATCAACTTCTGAGTTCTATATGAGAAAGTAACATTCAAACCTTAATATCTCCTTAATTACCACAACCACATAGCTATTAATCAAAGCAAAAAAAAAGAAGAAAATTGTACACACTGACATCAGACAATATCAACTAAAAAGTAGCATAGTTATTTCATACTCTTAAGTTTAAGTAAACAATAACTAACATGTCGAAGTTTTGGCAGTCGTATTTTCTCTCTAAAAGTAATGGAGGCAGAGCCTGTTCCACATATACTGTGGCGCTGAATGATATCTGTACGGTTGCCTTCCTTCTCCTGGTCCACGTGATGAGGGATGTCTGGGTTGGAGGTGCTGGACAGGAGGTCATTAGTTGTACAGTGGCTACTTGAGTATTCACTAGTGTTCTCCTCCTCAGAGAGGTTGCCTTCAGAGCTAAGAGTTGACACAGACTGCCTGCTGCTTTGTGTATGTATTCCAACTATCCTGTGAAAGAAATCACATCTGTTCTCAAAAACAAAGCAACCAACATTCTTTACAAACACTAAAGTCCTCCATCTTAGACACCTTTTATTCCATAAAAAATGAACAAAAAGTCATGGGATGACATAAACAGCAATTATAATAGTAAGCAGAGCTCTGAAAGACCCAAGTAATTGACAGTCTGGTCAATTTAGCACAGGACTACCAGCACAGTAAGCTAACTTGGCACGTGACTATCACTACAATAAACTAACTTGGAACAGGACTACCAGCATGGGAAGTTAACTTGGAACAGGACTACCAGCATGGGAAATTTATGTGGGACAGGATTAGTAGCACAGGAAGCTAACTTGGAACAGGACTACCAGCATAGGAAATTAACTTGGAACAGGACTACCAGCATAGGAAGTTAACTTGGAACAGGACTACCAGCATAGGAAGTTAACTTGGAACAGGACTACCAGCATGGGAAGTTAACTTGGCACAGGACTACCAGCATGGGAAGTTAACTTGGCACAGGACTATCAGCATGGTAAGCTAACTTGTGAGTCTACAACTGTTTCGTGGCATTGATTATCTATCCATACATAGTAGAAAATTATTATTCACCTTACAAATATTTAAACTTAGTGCAAAACTGTGTGGAAGTTCTATCTATCTATGCATTGGCAAGCAATTATTTATGGATAAATTTTCACAAGTTTAAAACTGGTCAACCATCAAAATGAACCAATCTCGGGTAGACCTAAATAAAAACTAGAAATTATTTTAATTAAAAAAATATAAACACACTTGTGTGTGTAAAACTTAAAATATTTTGAAATTTAGCCTATTTACTGGAAATTGTAACTTACATATTTTTCAAAACCTATAAATCCAATGTGTTCTACACTATATAAATCATCTTAAAGGTATATATCTGATTACAGATTAGTCAAGGAGTTTATTTTTATCTGGTTAGTAATACTTAATTTTTGAGATTTTTAAAAAAATATTATATTACTTTATACCAATATATTGTTCACATTATTAAACAGTGAAAATTTTTTTTCCTACTTAAATTAGGTATTTTTTTCAGTAGTTATTCTGGGAAAAAACTAAAACTTGATAATCTGATAACCATGGTATTATTACATACACATATGGAGGATTAACTAAATATTACGACACCAATAAAATAAACTTTTTAGTCATTGATTAACATTAAATCCATAATGTGAGAAAATGGGTGTTAGTTGAAAAACCAAAAATAATCCTACTCAATTATATTTGCAAGTTAATGTAGCAAGCAAAAACATTCCCAATGAAAATTTAATTAAAAAAGTGACAACTGAAGAAACGAACCTTTGATTTCTAAGAACACAATCATCACTATCATCAACTTCTCCCTCCTCTTCTGAACTACTGTCATCATGCACCTGTAAAAAAAAAAAAAGAGTAATCTTAAATGTATGCATTAATATATAACATTATGCACCTACTTCTGCACAGTTATTGGTAAAGCATCTGTGTTTGTGTGAGGGGGGGGTAACTTAATGGCACAAATAGAAGTTCAGAGACACTGTCATCTATTGTGCAATATTTCATACAACAGTTTACCTTCTGATGGCCCCACAAGTGGTTGAAACGTTGTTATAAAGTTAAAAAAATAAATATTCCACTCAAAAAGGTGTACATCTGGACTTTTATTTAAAGTATACAGAGAATTTGCTCTCCTTATAACAAGTTTCTAGATATTCACAACACTGACACCTTTCATTTAAATTTGAAAAAATCTGAAAGGTGACCTTCAAATACTGTTTTTGTTGTTTTTATCATTAAGCATTAAACCATTAAAGCAAAACTACACAAAGGGCTATTTGTGCTCTGTCCACGATGGTATCGAACCCCAGTTTTTAGCCAAATATATACACAGACATACCACTGTGCCACTGGGGGGGCAACTTTGAAACATTGCATTCACAAGATTTAGGGTAAACAGAGTATATTTTAGTACCCAAGACCTCAATCCACACACACACACACAGCAAGGGTTAAAAACTATATGATCCAAAAGTTACACTACATTACTATTTCAAACATATAAAAAATTTTGACAACTTAAACCACAAAGTGCTCATGGGTCACATACCATACCCCATGTTAGTTCATGCCATTAATAAAATTTTCTTACCTATTTGCAAAACCCTATTTTTTTACTTATCTTTATAGTCCTTTTTCAGTAAAGTCACCACAGAAAACAATCTCTTTGTAAACTTAATAAACTAGGGACCATTATTACTTGGCAGGAGTCCATATCAACCTCATGCAAGTACTTATAAGGTTAAAAGTAGCCTACTAAACATCGTTAAATACACCATTAGTCATAACTCACCACAGAAAAAAGAAATGAGTACCTTGTATTTGAATGTTTTGTACTATTACATGTTACTTTATAAATTCAGAAATTAGATTCATTTCTAACCCTACTACAAACTACTAATAGTGAAAAGTATAATACAAGATGGAATAAATCTTTAAAAACCAACAATTACATAACAATATGTTTTAACCTCTTTCACAAGAAGCTAGTCAACAATCATAAACTATGATACATTATGTTTGTTTGTAATTAAACACAAGGTTACACAATGGGCTATCTGTGCTCTGCCCACCACGGGTATCGAAACCCGGATTCTAGCATTGTAAGTCTGCAGGGGGCGATAAATTATGAAGCAAATTATTAAAAAAAGTGTTCAAGCAATCAGTACTGAAGTATCGTCATTTAAACTGAAATTTATAATAAGCATCTATAATTACAATAATATGCTATTTGTTTCAAGATTGTGATTTTTACATACAGAAGTTTTTATTCTATTCACAATATCCTTTAAATCTTATGGAAATATGGTGTTTAAATAGCATATTACACTCTAATACAGAGCAGAAACTGAATAATTAATACTTATCCTTAGATCATTCAAGCCATAATTTGCTTAGTACGCTGAAATCTATTTCATAATCATTTTGAAAATTAATGACCCCAAATAAATTAAGTCATTTTTACATATTATTGTCATAATTTTATGACCAGTAAAAATTCTATTTCACCAAAAGTTCCCGATTCATATATTTTTTATATTATTAAATAATCCTATTCTAAGCCCAAATGCAATGCCACTCAAACTTTCCACTACAAAACCTTATAAGAGAATATTTTCATCTATTTTTAAATACTGCCTTCTGTTTCGAACAATCAATACTGATTATTACACATACATAAATCCAAGTTTTTGAAACTTACATGCAGCAAATGCTGTTAGTAATTCTTATTCTGAATTTAATCTACCCTAATGTGTTCAGTATACCAAGAGAAAACTGTAAAAACATCCCAATTAAATGTCAGTGAGGTCCAACTTTAAAACAAAAAATTCAAACATTATTTAATATTTGAGTTGTAAGTCTGTTTATTAGATTTTTCCATGTTAAAACAGAATTCTGAAGGTCTTCATCAAGACATTTTCACCAACTGCACAAATAATAATAAAAAAAGTAAAAGATTTTAAAGTAAAAATAAATCAGACTTTATGAATTAAAAATACACGCATGTATCCAAGTTCAGAACTGTATGGAAACCTCTGTTAAGTCACAGGAAAAGAAGAGGTTTGTAATACAACATGACCAGTACACATAAATTATACACAAACATAAAAGTATACACAGAATTTAAAATTAAAACATCCTTGGTGCCAAATGTTCCTAAATATTATGTCAGGCACATAAGAATTTAAAAGGATGTGCGTAACTGACACAAAAGATATTGCAGCAGTCACTCGATACTAAAATTTGGCAAACAACTAATTTTTCAACCTTAACCATCAATAAAATCACAATATCACTGAATACACAAATGAATTATTATGTTTTTCTAAATAATAATTACCAATTTCATACACTTACTGAAAAAAGAATATATAAGATGTTAGTATACAAGTCACATGTTTTTGCATTTTATTATGTAAGAAGTTGACTTCTTAAAAACATAAATACATGTGGTTCGGGTTGGTTGAAAATATATGGGTCTTATAGGTCAGTTTTCATGAAAAAAAAAGACCACTTTAAAAAAATATAGGCTTTAACAGGGCTAACATTATTAGCAATAGCACAAGATAGGTGTCTTAATGCCAAACAGAAAGCCTATATATAGTTCTTAGAAATATTGCCAAAGACTTGAAAGCTGGAGATCTACACCACATAATACTTTACATTTAGTATCAATTCTACAGCAGAAGAGCAGCTTTCAATTAATATATAATTCTATAGATGAATGCAATCCAAGCACTAGACTTAGGTCTAGATCTAAAATAAATCATAACATGTCCCTACAATATTGATTTGATATTTACATTCACAACCACTTACATTCAAATCTAGATCTATCTATGTTCTAGGCTAGACTACTAAGCTCTAGATTTCAGCAATGAGACAACCCATACAAGCCCAATGTAGAAAAGCACTCAGACAAGAAGTTGGCTGTGAAAATGATGGACATGCTCATGTATTTGAACAGAAAAATAACCTTGCAATAAATGTACACTTACAAGTTTGTTTGTTTTTTTGGTACCTAAAAAAAACTCAATGTCTATTCCCAGGTGGCACTTAAAAAAAGTGTCTGATTACCTAAGTAAATAAAAAATTGATTGAATTAAAAAGGCTTAAGTGATGATACCAAATAACTTTTACAAATACAGAACAAGTTGTTTTTTTTGGCTATTCATAAGTATGTTTGTTTATTTGTTATGTGTAACTTTTGTACAAAGCTATTCCAGAGGTATCTGAGCTAACCATTCCTAATTTTAAGGTGATATACTAGAGCAGAGAATCTCAAACTGTGGTACGCGTACCACTGGCGGTATGTGGAGCTAATGTCAGTGGTACACGACACGATTAATATAAAAAAATCATAAAATTTGAAATAAGCCCTATCTGAGCTTTCCACATACATATGCATACTACTCTCCTCACTTATAGACTCGCCAGTATTTTCTTCCCTTAAAATTGACAAAAATGGTACCACATATTCTTCAATTGTGACAGAAAAACAGTCACACTTCACATTAATGGTTAAGTGTTAAAAATATGAATTTTTGTTATAAGATTTTTTAAATTTTATATTTAAAATTAGGCCTGGGTTTGTAATTTTAAAAAATTTAACAAAAATTGGTATGCGAAGCTGAAACATTTGAGAACCACTGTACCAGAGGGTAGAAGGTAGCTAGATAACACCACCCACTGCCAACTCTTAGACTACTCTTTTATTAATGAATAATGGGATTGACCTTCACATTATAAAGCTCAACAGCAAGCATGTTTGGCGATGAGTTTCCATCCTGCAATTTGCAGGTTGTGAGTCAAGCACCCTAACTATCAAGCCTCAATAGTATACATGAGAACATAATTAATATAGAAACACATTAGAGATTCAAATTTGCAAATTATTTCACCAGAACTAACCCCTAATATGACCCAAATGATAATCTACTGAACAAAATACAAAACATCATTTCAAACAGGTTATATTTTAACAGTTGTTGAGAAATAGACTGTGCAAAATTCTAAATTATCACAATTCCAGTTAACAAGTTAAATATACATTCTATAATTATGAATAAAACACCTCACTTTATTCTCTACTTTAAATAATTCATACATGTATATATTGAAGAACAAATTACAAGATATAGATATCTAATTTAGAATATATAACTGCATTGTGTGTCTATGTGTGTACGTACGTATGTATGTATGCATCTATAATACATATACGCACACACAATTTGTTTTACTGTTGTTGCTTAAAGAAGTAAAACACAAACAAAAGAACATAACATACTTGTGAGTTTCTATGAGGACCAAGAGACCACCTATGACCACTAGTAACAGGAATGGGAACTGAAACAGCAGTGGGCGATTCATCACTGTCACTGATCATCCGTTTTCGTCGTTGGCTTATCTTTGGACTAAGACCTTCCTGTACCAATGGAAATGAGGTGGTTGAACCATTGCCACTCGACTTGTTGGTTGTTCTAGGTTTATGTTCAGAACCAAGAGTCTCTTCTCTTGTGTTCATATTACTATCATCAAAATTTTCATGTGGCCTTGAACATTTTTCAGAATTTTTTTGTGAGTCTGAGGGCTCTAAAGAGTCTCCTTGCTCCTCAACTGGAGTTTCAATACTTTTTGGAAATTTTTTCACACATTTGGAACATTCAGTATCACTTAATGGAGTGTGGCATTTTTTACAGAAGGCATTACAGTTAGTTTTATCACTATGACATCCAGATTCAATATCATCATCTTCAATTGGCTGAGTTTGTAATACTAATGGTTTTGATACGGTAACAATGGGACTTGTCAAGTCAGTCTCACTTAGTAAATCCATCCCATCTGTCTGAACTTCACTATCTACCACACACTGTTGTTCTTTCCTTGGACTAGGCTTGGGAGAAGAATTATGACTCCCAGCCCCTCCAAACTGGTATGTTCCTGAACCACCACAGCTGCCATTTCGGCGATGACGAGCACGGCGAATCCGGGCTTTAGCTGAAAAGTGACTGGATGGTGTGACAAAATTAGAAGCTATGGCACCAAGTTTTTGAGGACTTTCAGGGCTGTAAATAAGGCATACTCAGGTTATTAATTTATAATATTACTCCAAATACATATAATTCAAAACTGTTGTCTGCAACTTGCTTGATCATGCATCATTGATGTAGAGATTATTCTCAACTCTTAGTACCCAGTTATTCAAACTTTATCACATTTCTTAAAATTTACTCAGAACGTAAATTTTAAAAAGAATCATGATTTCACAACATTTTAAGATTTAGTTTCACTGATGTAGGCTTAGTGTGAAAGTATTATCTCTATTATTTTATGTACATATTCTAAATCACATTTCTATTCATAATGAAAAAGTTCAAAAATACCATGTTTACTATTACAAACTTGACAATATCATTTTAGGTGCAATGAGTGACTTACAAACAAAACTTGAAAGAATCATATTCAACAGTTAAATGTTTAAAACTTAATTTAGTTGCAAGATATGGCTAAAACCAAACAGAACATTTCTGATACTATGAAGTACAGCTTACAGAAGTTTCACACTGGAGTTCAGATTCTTTAATAACCTCCAATACAAGGAGATGAGGTGTTGCAGTCAGCACTAGGTGACACTCCTAGGGTTTGTGGAGAATGCTGCCTTACAGGATGTAGAAGAAAGTTCCTTTACTGATGTTGCCAGTGGCCTTCTGGTCGTATATTCTTCTCCTAATTTCCCATTTTTTTATTATTCTAGTTACAAAACATGGCACACTGTTTCCCAACAGTCTTGTTCCCCTCTTAATGTTGATCAAGAACTTCCATGTTTGCCATTTTTGCCTTACTAATGTAGAGGTTGATATCCTACCAATAAAGGTTTCTCTTTCAAGAATGTCAGCTTCCTCATTTAGTTTTTACCCCTGTATACATACATCAGGTGATGGTATTACCATGCAGTTGCTTTGCTTTCTGCTTTCCATCTGAGGACCAACCACTCTGAAATTAATGCAGTACTATCTGCAACTTGGTTTCAAATATTATGTTTGTGGCAGTGTCTATTTACAGTTCATTGCTTTCAGTAATCCACATGAAAGATTGCTTTATGGCATCCAGCTTCGTTCTTGTACTGCTTGTGAGAAGCTTGAATTCTCCACCAGCTCTCACACTATTTGTGGTTAGGAATCATCTATGGTTATGATGAGAGTTGACTGTCCACAATGGTCTTTAAATAGGTGTTGAGAAACTATTTCTACTTCACCCTCTGCCCATTCTCAATGGTTTTCTATCTAAACTGATTTCCACAGATCCCAGTGACACCAGATGTATATTCCACATCAACAAATTATTTTACTGGTGACCGTATAACACCTGTTCATCCATGACTGTCTCTTGAGGTGACTTTGACAAACCACTCTGCTTGGTTGGTGTCTTTGGAATCACTATCGAGCTGGAATGTCCCAAATGGAAAGGGGAAATGGTGAATGATGTTGCTTGTAAGCAAAGCATTGTTGGTTATCTGCAATACTACTGCTACAAGAAGATTCTAAGAATGCAAAATATGTGGTTTTCTAACATTATTTTTAGAAACCTACATCTTTTGCATTTTTTTAACTTTTTTGAAAAGCAAAAACCTACATGCACTTTAACTCACTCCCATTAATGTGAATCAAGTGTATAAAAAGTGTATGTATAAAAAGTTTCATAGTAAATACTCACTCACTAGTGTTCTACATATGTCCAAATCATACTGGAAGAGCAAAAAAAAAATAGGAAACAAAATCCAAGTGTATTTTTACTTAAATCAAGTATGCATGGTTGAGCCTATACAACTATGCTAAGACTACCATTTCTACCAACGAGGCAAAAAGGGAGCATTTACTTTAAAAATGTTTTGATTTATTAATTATAATTGTGTAGGGGAAAATTATTTGCTTCTGTAAAAATTTAGGTACCAATCTATATTTTGTTCTTTTTCAGGTTCAGAAGCAGTAGCTTTAAACTGGTGATAAAATATCCTGTAGCTTACATAAAATTGTTTTGTGTTTGTTACTCAAGGGCTATCTGTGCTAGCCATTTCTAATTTAGAAGTTACAAACAAGAGGAAAAACAGCTAGTCAACATTACCCACTGCCAACTCTTGAGCTACTCTAATTGAACAGTGTGACCAAATGTTACAACACCCCCCACTGGTGAAAGGGTGAACACGTTTGGTGATGGGAGCTGAATCCACAACTTGCAGATTAAGCACTCTAAACACCAGACCATGTCATGCCCCGTATATAAAAACCCATATTTTAATATATAATATATAAAATAATCACACTTATTCATACAAACCTGGTTTTTTCTGACTGTGACTTATAGCTTCGTTTCTTGCCAAGCCTTTCATGGGCTTTCAGCAGTGGTCTTACTATGCGCTTTTTATGAGGCTTTATTCCTGAACACTGTTGTATAGCTTGTTCCTGCCTACAAGATAAAATAAGGTCAGTTATCAGAAAAATAAATGTTATTTGAAGGAATTAACAAAAATCTGAATATTGCAATAAGAAAAGTATATACAAGAAAACTTCTACAACCAGTAAATATAAAACAAACTATATAGCTCATATTAAGAACTGTGGTTTAGAAATGTTTATGCATAAAGAAAGACTGAATTTAGTTATCTGTCATAAAATTTCAAATTATACTCAAAAACAGACTTCAGATTCAGGTAACACTGAAAATACGGAAATACCTAGTTATACAATATTTCAAGTTTACATGCAAGTAGACTAATGGATACAAATTTTACAAAGGTTGATACCAGAGAAAGATTAAAAACATTCTTTCAATCAATATATCTATTCTTGTAATTGAACACTCTAATCTGTATTCAATAAAATATGTTTCAATACTAGCTAGACTTTTGATACTTATTCTGGAAAAATCTGTATGTGTAGGTCTGCTGGAAGCATTAAATGGGATTATTCATGAGGGAATGTTTATCTTAAAAATTAATTATGCAGTCACTCTTCCACACACCAAAAGTTAGGCCTCACTTGATTTTCTTAGTGTTTCTCTATGTACTTTTTTATATACTTTTGACTTCAAATTATGTTAAGTTGCACTACACAGCAGTGAACAGAAATAAAAAATACAGATAAAATATGGGGTAAGCTCCATGAGTGTGGTTCTTTATACAATATCTACTAGTGTTGCAATACAGTGTTACAGTTAAATAAATACCAATGGAATTTATAATAAGGAAATTTAAAACTTCCAGTTTTGATTGGTAAACAAAGTTTCATGCAAAGTCTTAAAACTTTTTCTATACAATCAAATTTGGGAAATTAACAACAGTTATCAAAATTTTATAACAGACAAAATATAAATGGAATGAGTGTATAAAATTTATGCAACACTATTAATATACAAGTCAATAAAAGGGAACTACAAGGACACACTTAAAACTGTTTAACCGTAATAACTAAGCAAGACAGGTCTGATAACAATAATGACTTATAAAGTATCCTTGCAACAGGAAAATATACCATAGCACTATACAGAAATTTAAACAGAAGTTATGAATATGACCATACATAAGCAAAATATGATAAACATCTTGAAGAAAAGTGTTCACAGTTATGGTGAGTGAGACCAGCACATTACGATGTTGTATTTGTTCATCATCTCAGAAATCCTCATTGTAAAATCTCAGTGAATTATAGGACATGAAATTAAAATTACTTGTCTTATGCATGGCTGCAAAAATGTACTTATTGAAAAATACTTTAATTTTATTAAAAATAGAATATGGTTTAAGGCTTTGATAAGGTTGTACCTGTTATTTCAAGGCTATGCCAGTGATAAACATCCTAAAAAAAACATTTTGTGATATAATAATAATAGGAATAACTTTATTTCAGACACTTAGACCAGTGGCACATTACATTAGAACAGTTTAAGTTTAAATCAACATTTTTTTTAACATATATTTAATAGGCTTTTGTAGTCGTAATATCATACATTTTTGTTTCATTCCCAATATTTTAGGTGTAAGTACACTTAAATTATACAATACTTTTACATTTTGAGTTTTTAATAAAGAGTCATACTTATAATGACTAAGTTTAATATAACAATATATACACACACACACACACACAAACGTATTCCTTAATTCATTAGATTGTGGACAAACAAAGATAACATGATACTCATTTCCTATGACTTTTACTTCATTTTTGAGGCAATAATAACACCATCATTCTGATGTATCTAAAATTTCATGCCAGCCTATTTCTGATTCAAAATCAGGATTTGAGATATGTAATTTTCCCAAAGCTGACCTTTTAAACTTTCCAAATTGTATGAACAAATATCTTTGTGGTCCTAAAACTGATTTAAGATTAAAAATGTAGTACAATAACATAAGTAAATATCAGTTTTGGACATAAATATCTTCAAACCTCTGCTTAAAATTCTTCTTTAAAAAAGTTTTTAATTTCCAATTTGTTGTGCTTCCCATACATAACCAAATCCATATGTGAAAAGACAATGCCTTATTTTACTTGCCCATGTTCTCTTCCTTTTTCATCTAAGCATTTAACCATATCATAACATGCTTCAGAGAACCTATTATTTTCCATTATTATAAGCTTAAGCCAATACTTTATATTTAACAGATAGAGGTAGCTTTCTGCATTCACCCAATACAGCTACATGTTTAGCACTCTTTGAAACCCCTAAACAATATTTACAAAATGTATTTTGTACTTTTCCTATTTAAAATAATCAGAAAAAAAAACATACAACAAAATTGGAGTTACCATTTCCTTAATTACTTCAAAGTATATTTCATTGAAATTCCATTTATTTTCTTATCATAAGGCTTGCCTTTTCAGTTTGTTTAGTTAAATGTTCTGTCATAGCATAATAAGACAGTTTACTAGTTATTGCAATTCCCAGATACTTATAATACAAAACTACCTCCAACCTTTCCTTACCTATACACCAATGTTCAGAAGATTTTAAGATACCTCCCCTTCTAAAAGTTATAACTTTTGATTTCAGCATATTAATATGTACATTAGTTGACTTATAAAAGTTTTCAAAAATATTTAACATATCTTGTAGCTACACTGTTGTTTAGTGAAACACCTGTAAATCATAAGCATACAGAAGAGTTGCAATAGTACCTATCTTATTATTAACATAAATTCCAAAATCATATTCTTTCATGTGTTATAAGGTCATACAAATAGACAAATATGAAAAGGCTTATGATACAACCTTGCCATGTCCCTACTTCATATTTAAAAAATGATGTTTGTCCTTTCTGAGCTCTTGCACGATTTCTTCTCTTTTTTTTTTTATACATACTCACAATCCCTTTAAAAATATTTCTTTTTATGCTATTTTTGATAATTTCATTCCATAATAATTCAGAAGAAACTATATTAAATGCTTTACTGAAATCTATAAAAGCACAGTGAAATCTCCCTTTTCTGTTAGATAAATAACTTTCAGCAAGACAATACAGATAAAAATATTATCAACTGCCGAATGCTTCTTTCTGTATCCTGCCTGTTTTTCATATAATTTCTTATTTATATCTGCCCAGTTATTTTAATTCAAAATTTATAA